AAGGATTAAATACGCCAAAAAAATTATCAAAATTCTGTGCGAAAGTTTCGAGGGGTGGAGACATGGCTTACAAAATTACTGAATTAAGCATGTTTAAGTATGCACCCATCACGTCATGTGACTTGAGATGAGACCAATCAGCGGATATAAGGCTATATTTTGACCAAATCGTCAGTTTTAATTTTGATAATTTAAAGAAGCACGTCATTGTGTATTGCATTGCAACCAACTTGATAAGGCTAGTAATGGATGTTGAATAAAACTGTTATTTTTTGTTGAAATAAATATTTCGCTACTTTTTTTCATCGGTTTTTAAATGTAACTTAACGACGTACGTCACGAGTGACCCTTTTCTTATAGTAAAACAATGTTTAATTATGAAAGTATTTTATTTTATACTCCATATTTTTTCCATATCTTTGATTTTTTCGTCCATATTTTATGTAAATATTTTAAATTTTTTAATACATATTTATCCGGGCCCTAGTGATTATGAAGAACCTTCGAGAAATACAAGAACATTTACAAGAATTGAAATTTCATTTTAAAATATCATGGAAGGTGGTAGAAGAAGTAACATTAGTAACGTCAGCGAGGCTGGCGTCTCCCTCATTGAAATAACGAATTTATTTTAAATGTGCATTATACATATATACTGTGTGTATGAAAAATTGTGTCAACCCTCTTAACTACGTTATCAGTATCGAAACAACTTACATTTACATAATTTTCAATAAAAATAATTAAATTAATTATTAAATAATTTACCACCATCACACCTGCTGCGCTACCAGTGACGAACTCGAACGTACATTCACATTATTTTGATTGTTTAACCACTTTAACGATTCACTGATACCACTTTTTTTCAAACATCGATACGTTTCACTATGTTACAAATCAATTCAAAATAACACTTAGTTAACTAAAAAGTATACGGCTCGAGAATTCACTGTTTTCGTAATGGTACTTTTCTTGAAGAAGCAAACAGTTCGTCATAAAGTCTACGCGATTCCACATAATTACAATCATATTTCCCTAGACACATTAACACATTGAAATATTCCTGGTTGTACTCCATTTTATAAAACAACACTATTTTATAAAACCGTAACCAAAAAGTAATCCAATCGGAAGAAATTTCCACGAGGAACTAATTTTTTTTTATTAAAATGGCGGCATAGGCTTGAATAAAAAATATCGATAAATCAAATATCGATATTTAAAAAATCATAACAATAAATAAATATGTAATATGTATTCATATTATTTCGATACTTATTTTTAAAAATCATACATTAATACATATTATTTTTGATCGTAAAACACCATTTTTAACAGAGTAGATTAACGATTTATCCTAATAATGCAACATAGTTAATTTACGTGAAGGAGTTTCAAATTATAATTTTGATTAATAATATTTATTATTAATAAGTTATTTTAAATGAAATGATTTTAATGTGAAAAGTATAACTATTTGTAGCAATATTGAAAATGTCGATAGAATATTTATCGATATACCTAATTTTTAAACTTGCAAATTTCTATTCGAAACACTAACAAAAGACCAGTGGCGCCACGCCGGCAGCCCGGCGCCTGCGATTTTAACATAAAACCATAAAATTATCTAAATTACTTTAACTTGTTACAACCAGTAAGCAAACTTAGTAATTCCTTTTAAAGTATAAACCATTGTTTAGTTTTATTAAATAAAATTAAATATTCACATTTGAATTATTTTTATTTCATCAAAATACGAAAATTTCTTTTATTTATATTACGATGACAAAGCAGAATGCGAACTGTTTCTCACAAAAGAATTGATTTTCGATGGATGAGAATTGGATAAACTAATAATAATAGTCAATCATAGTAACCGAAAAGAATTAATAGAAATAGACTTTCCTGTTCAGTTGATTAAAATCTCATTAATATTATAACGAAATTGTTTGGAATTTAATCTCTTTGAACCTGTGGAACAATTAATATGTACATACTTTCAGCAAGGTTTAGCAATTTAAACTACTTAAAAGCTATTAATACAGAAGGAGATTATTTTTTGTAAGCGAGGGTGCGCGTGCGAGTGTCGCCGTAGCGATGACGGACAACCGTTACACAGCTAAAGTCTATGTGGACTGACGAGTCACGAGCCCGGCGCAGTGCCCGCTCAGCTGGCCAGCGGCCGCTAGGGGGGGCCAGCGGGGCTAGAGGTGCGCGGGCCCGGACGACGCGAACTATAGACGCAGCGTGCATCTTTGCAATATACAATTTAATAAAAAGTTTGTCCGCCGCAAGAAATAAAAATATTAAATAAATCTTAAACAATTAATTAACAAATACATATAGAAATGAATATAAATTTAAATTTACAATATAAAAGATTGAAATCTTAATCTTAAAATTAAGTAGCTCCGCTACATGCGTATTGTGCTTTTATAATATAAATACGACACATTGTTGATGAAAGAATTGATTCCAAAGCAATATCAGACATCTGATATTTATCACAATCATGTACATATTTTACCCTTGGTAAATTTGCATCGTCTGTTTAAACTGGCATATTCAATGTTTTTATGAAGTAAATTGTTAACGATACGAATTTAGCAGAAGATAAATTAATGTATACATTAAAACATCAGTCTCTATGTATTTTTGAAAAGGCACACTTAAGTTATTTGATTTTATTTTATTTGTTTTTATTTGCGTGTGTTGTATTTTTTTAGGTATGTTTTTTTTTATGTGCGTGTTTTAACCATCATGACAAACATCAGAAAGGAATCTATTTCATGCAATTTGAACAATTATGAGCATTTGAGAAATACCTAGAAAATCGGTCAAACTCAAACGGATACTATATAGTACGGATAACATCAATAAGTTTTTCAAAAACTATTTGGAAAAGTTATAAATATTACTCCTACATATAACTTCAATGCTTTCTTCAAAATGAAAGTAATTTATACAACTAGTTTTCAAAGTAAATGGGAAAGTTAAATGTTAAAATAACCATTTTTAGATGTTAGTTACATTCATTAATTCTTTTAAGAAATAATATAAACATATAAGAGATCTCCATATTGTGTTGAGCATAAATATTATCTGTAATAGTGAACACATATAAAACTCTAATCTCGTAAGCCTACACACTGTCACTACGGTTTACTCGTGGTTTTACTGTTATAAGTTATTTTATAAGGCAACTAAATTTAAATATCCAGCTATTCTTAAAACCTAAAGTATACATTACTTAAAACTTCTTTAGTCTCGTCAAACTATGCATTAACAGTCTACATGACACTCTCTTAACTTCATTTGGCATTGGTAATAATATATTAAAGAAAGCGCACAAATGGGACAATACCCAACAACTACAAAACAACAGAAATGTTATAAAAATTAAGAATTACGTTAACATGAATAGTTTCGCAGTATTTAACAAATTAAATAGGGAACGAAACCGTTGTCTATAGATATTGTCTATCATAACTCTTTTTTTTAACAAAAGGAATGCTTATTGGCTGTCGATCGTGCCTACATAGACCAGCAAAAGGTGGTAGAGCCTAGCTGTGGTGAGTTACTACAGCTCGAACATGGGCTGGCTCGACCGGGGAAGTACCACCCTCTCACAGAAGATCGGCGTGAAGTAGCCTTTACCGTCTGCGTTTCGTCTGATGAGTGAGAGAGCCGGTTGCCCTTTCCCTATTCCTACCATTTCCCTTCATTTCCTTATTCCCTCCCCTCCCTAACGCCAAATAACAAGGTTGGCAACGCATCCGCAACAAAATGTTGTGGATGTCCATGGGCGACGGTAACTACTTTCCATCAAGTGGGCCGTCTGCTCGTTTGCCACCTTTAACATGAAAAAAAAACATAGCCATAATGTCGTTTTGGCTAGGAGTTGAGTTCTCGAGTAAGTATATATGGTTTTTTCGCTTATATGAGGAGAAGTCGAACATTTTCCGGAATGTAAAGTAGCCTATGTGTTATTTCTGGACGTCAGCTTCTTGTATACAAAATTTTATCACAATCGGTTCAGCCGTTTGAGCATGAAGAAGTAACAAACATACACACTTTCGCAATATTAGTACGATATTACCTTTTTCTGACATTTTCATCTCATGTGTCCGTCAACACGAGTTTTGTAAAATAACCGACACGTCGGATTAAACGTGAAATACATCGCGTAGTATTCAAATAATCGTAATAGTCAAATAATGTAGATTCATTGTTTTTTGTCATTAATTAAAACATAAAGACTTGATTTCTGTTGATTATGATACTATGTAGCTTTTGCTCCCAGCATCACTCGAAACCAACTTTTTAAAAAGAGCACCTATAGAATAAAACGTAGAAACTTTTTCTAAAAATATAGCTGATTTTTACAAATATTTATCGTAATTTTTATGAGCTTATAGTCAATAGTGTCGGAAAGACAACATTAACATACAAATACTTATTTAATTTATAAATACACATTAATCAAAATATAGTTTCTCAAACACAAATAACTCGTCACGAGTTCTATTCAGACAGTATTAAAAATAAGTCTCCTTATATAATATTTACAGTAAATCCTTGTTCGTATATAAACTGTCACTGACCATTTTCTTTAAACGATAGAACAAAGAAAACTTTTAAAGTAATCCTACGGTGACTAGCTTGAAACATAATTTATATTGAACTTTCAAGTTTCAGGTTATTAGAAAACATGACTCTGACTTACATTAGTTAACAAGACCTTCTTTGGATACTTTAGAATATCTGTTAGAAAATTGTACCAACTAAATCAAGATTTCTTAACAACCACTGTTATCATGAATAGAGAAGATATTAGTAACACCAATATGTTATAATAAAATTGTTAATTAATTGTCATCCACAAGACAAACCTGGGTATAAATACATTATTATATATACATATACACTGTTAACAATTCCAAAATGTTTGGCCCACCGGGAAGGCATATATATATTTTTATATAACATTTGTACAGGCGGAAATAGCGAAACAACAGTTGGTGCCAGACGATGAGATGGAGTCATCATCATCAGAGGAAGGTAGCAGCACCAAGAACGGTGAAGAAGATGATGACTTTACTCCGGGGTACATCGGCCTGGGACTGACTGAGTTCAAGTATGTACCAACACTAATATACAACGTGTAACATTATTAACGCACACCCTGAAAGTAGTTTGATCAGAATCGGATACTGGATCGATTTTGATAGTTTTTTATATAGGTCATTTTTTTTCTCAAATTTAGATAGAACTAAGTAAATTATAGTCACCCTACACACAGTTATCTAAACACTTCATAGAAACGAAAATTAATGGAAACGAAAATGGATCGTAAGTCAGGGTATTAAGATTTTTAAAATGAAATATTTAATTAGTAATCATCATTCAATTAAAGAAAACTGATACTTATTTCAAGGCTAAAATAGTATTTAATAATAACTACGCACGCAACACCATAGCGACAACCGGCACACAGCAAGGTCACTACAGTGCATAAAAGAAAGCCGCGTAATACAAAAATTATTACTTTCTCCTTCTTTCTTTGGCTTAATAACATTACAATAGAGCGAGACGGCAGGCATAATTCCGTGAATCAGAGTAATAATAACTAAACATCGAAGTCAACAAAATGTGTTTTGGGTAAGTTAGTCACGCCGCGTCCACCTTATCGAAAAGAGGTCAAGTGTAAAGTGCTAATAAAATCTTAGTCGCGCATTTCGCTGTGTCGTTTCGGTACACTAACATTCAATACATCAAGTAGCTACGCACGTGTCCATTGACCTCCTAGATCAGCTGATTTGACGCGACTCGACTTTTTTTTGTGGGGGCGAATTAAATCGCTAGTTTATAACACAGAGATAACAAGTGCCGAGGAACTAAAAAATAAGATAATAACCGCCTTTGTAAAAGTGAAAAGTGACATTGCAGTATTATCTAAAATAAAACCATAATTGCGAAAACGGTCATTAAAGTGCATTAAACAAGGCGGTGGACATTTTGAAAATGTTTTAAAACGACAACGCTGTGCGAGTGCAAATTAAACTGTAAGTTTGTTTATGATCTTTAAATTATTGTAAATATTTTGATACACACCATTTAAACAGGCCGACTCTGTTTAACTTTGTCGTAGGTATTGTGGTGTCTAATCAAATCACGCGTTATCAGCTGTTTAATAATTCTTATTTACAAATTTAATTTAACAAATCAGTAATTATAAAATATTGGCTTCACATTAAAAAGAAAATTCAATGTCAACAATCTAAAGCTTGAAAAGTGTGATGGAAAGAAAAATCATAATGTATGTAGTTATTACGTGTACTTATTATTACCTACTTCTTATTATTGTCGGACGGCACTCGGAGAGAGGGGCGCGGGCGCGGCGAGTACAGAGTGTCGCTGAATAGCGGACCATATTATTTGCACGAAATTGGGATAACTAATTTCACAAATAAAAAATTCAAACGCACATATAAATAATATTTGGTGTATGCATTGCGTTTATATCATTATATACGCATTGGGGTATTTGAGGGTGTGCGTTAATTACGTTACACGTTGTATATACACTTGCTGCGCCCCGCGGTGTTACCCGCGGATTTCGGGGATGTTAAGTAGCCTATGTGTTATTCCTGAACGTCAGCTTCCTGCATACAACAATTTTATCAAAATCGGTTCAGCCGTGTGAGCGTGAAGAAGTTACAAACATACACACACACTCACAAACTTTCGCAATTATAATATTAGTAGGCTTGAAAATCTTCTCGTCTCTTTATTAATTTCATTGAATATTTACAGCAAACGATTGTGGCGAAGGGATTCGAAGGTAGACAAAGAAAAATCAGTGGCCAAAGACAAAGATAAACCTGAAACGAAGAAGGACAACGAAGAGGACTGCATCACCATCAGTGACGATGAAGAAGGTGACACATAACACACGACCCGTGAAGTTAACACAACACACGGCCAATTAAATGTAGCAAACATGAACCATTTGAATTACAAACCATCACTGCTAAAATAACTCTTGATGTGTTGACATTCATTATGATTATATGTATTACAACATTAATCCCTCAAAAGTTTCTCCTTTTCAAAGTTAATAAAACGTTTACATGGAAAATAATTTCAGGGCTTAACTGTTAAAAATTATATAGATTTTTTTTTGTACTTAAAATTAAAATTGTAGATGTTTTTATTTCATAATAATTGGAATAATTGATAGTTCTATTTTATGTAAGCTTGTAATTCCATGTGCTTTAATGTGAGTATATAAACTTGCTTGAAATGTCCCCATTAGAAATTATTTGTTTGCTAGAAGATTGATCTGTATGGATCTGTCAAGTTATCTTTTCTGATTTCAACCAAAAATATTGTATCTTCTATGTGTATAGACAAATTAGGTCATAGTCTCCAACAATTCTTGTATACAGTTTTGTTTATGGAGCCATCTATTGTGTAATATTATTTTCACTGCTTCATAGCCTGTAGTTTTTCCAATATGTGTAAGATAATATTTGAAATTCTATTGTCTCTTTTATTACTATTGCATATTATGTGAAAATAATATTATATACTGTACTGTATAATATTATGTACTGTACATTATTAAAATTTATAATTAAATCTAATTGCAGTTCGAGAACCTTCGAATTTCACAGCCGCTGCTGGGATGGGAGCAAATGAATTTAAATCAAAATATAGGTGAGGAAAATGTCATGGGAATAGATTGCTAAAATGTTGTAGTGCAGTTCACATTTAAATTAAACCTTATATAGGTCATACATTTATAGTCAAACATTTAAGGTTTTAAATTTCTTCGGGATTACTTTTCACTAATCATTTTCATAGGGAGCCAATAAGTACACTTCATATAGACTTTATATATAAAGGCGATTGTCCACTTAGTATGGGGACTTTGGCCTGACATGAACAGACATTTCATCATTTTTTTTGTAATTAGTTTAAAAGCACTATCTAGTAATAATGGGAATATGAACTTAATTTTGTATCAAAATGTTCAAAAAGAGATTTTTATCATGTGAGGAAAAACAGGTTAAAGCGAAATAAAACAACATTTTTTATGATTTAATTTTATTCTGAGACATCATATTTTAGTAATATGTATTCAAGAAATTAGACAGGTGGTGAAATGTGTTCCTGATACCTTGCTCAACTTAAAAACTATAAAATAGTCATTATATGAGTGCAGCAACCCACTGTCCTTCGGGCTACCATGCAATTACAATAATATTCTTTTATAGCTTCCTTACCATTGTGATTATTTTCATATAATATATATATATATATATATAAAATGTATTTTTCGACTTACATGCCTGCTTTGTATTTTTCCACGCAATAATCTGCAGTTGGCCAAAGGAATTGGGTAGTAAACCAATAGGTCGCTGGCTATATTTCTACATACTTCTATAGTATAGGAACCATCGCCTCTTATGTGCTGCCCATAATATGAACAAGTTTGTTTTTGTTGGTATGTTCCACATGCAATCTTTATAATGTAATTATATTCTATTCTTGGAAATATGAAACTATCCATGTTTACATTTATAGGTTGAAAATCTGCCCGCCTTCTATTTAAATTATTTTCGATAACAAAGTCAGCTAATGTGTTAGGGCTAAACATCTTTTCATTTATTATAATACAACAGTATATAAGGATTATAATTATATAAAACAATAAAACCTCATATTGCATTATAGGAATAGCATATACAATACATATCTATTAAAAAACGAGTGATTTAAATAATTAATTGAATTGACACTTAGTCGTCGAGAAGCTATCAACTGTCTTATAATAGACTGAACCTGATTAAGATCTAGACTATGTCGCCTTCGCTCTATCAAATCAGTTCCACAGTTTATGCATCTCAGAGATACGGATTGGTAAGAAGTCACTTCTTCTGTGTGCAGACTATCATGAGACACGCTTTGGTTTTGTTCAATGTTCATATTCTAGCCGTGGTTAGCGATGGAGCTAGTTTCGGGGCCCATATTACGTGAGTGTTGGTCATCGGAGTCCATAATACAAAAGCCAGGGTCATCGTTTGAGCGAAACTCGGGGTCCATAGATGTGCCGGGGTCATTGTAAAAAGATAGGTCGGAGTCCATAACGAATAAACAATCGTTGAAAGAAAATCCACGATAAATCAACACTCTCAATGTAGGTAAACAAAGCGAATGTAAACAATCAGTCTGTGACATATCAATGTCAATTTGTATTTTTTTGTTTTATTAGTGTTGCAATAGAAAAAAATCATTAAAAATTCGATCGAAAACAGATATGATTACTGGTCTGGTCTATTCCCACTGCCCCAGCACTCGTGCGTGCCGAACGTGTTGTGGACACGCACGACCCTCGCTTACCGTGGGTGTCTTTCTTCGCTCTCCGCGCGGTGCGGGCCGGGGGCGAACTCACGTGGAACTACAACTACGACGTGGGTTCCGTGCCCGGGAAGGTCCTCTACTGTTACTGCGGAGCCCCAACGTGTCGCGGCCGGCTGCTGTGACCTGCCTCACTCGTACACACCTTGGACTTCATTACTGTATAAATGGGACTAATAAAATGTATGAAACATTTGGCAGCTTTATTCCACCCCCAATTTTTTTTATAATTAGCCATATAAGCTGATTGCGTATAAAAATGCTAGCATTATTTAGTTAGCACTTGAGTAAGTATTTTATTATTGCTATTGGTGTATATAGAAAAACTATATAAATGTAAAGAATAGACCCGCGGTAATACATTATATTGGTTAAAAGGGAACATCTACTTAATTTTGTTTTTTCGCAGTAGAAGTTTTTGAATTTATGGGGGTATGTGGTATGATCAAACCGGTTTTTCTATCTACTTCTTGAAATGAAACTGCACAGTTTAGTACACAATCATGTATTTTTTATTAACCAGTCTTAGTAGTTTCTTTTCATATCACATGTGAGATCGTTTTCTTAAATTTACTTAACATTATATGGGTCCTATATAGCGTGTTCTAAAAACTGTGTCCTTCCTTAAAGGCATGTATACATATAAGTCTAAGCTTATTATTAAAAATAGTATGACTTAAAAAATATCAAGCAGAGGTCAATTACAGTGCATAGGCTAAATAAGTTTTAAATCGACATTATTTGACATCCGACCCATAAACGGTTAAGGCGCCGTATAGTCGCTCCGGCGCACGCGCGGCCATTCATCGCAGGCGCCGGGCTGCCGGCGTGGCGCGAGGCGGCATTTGTTAGTTCTTCGAATAGAGATTTGCAAGTTTAAAAATTAGGTATATCGATAAATATTCTATCGATATTTTCAATATTGCTATTTATAATAGTTATGCTTTTCACAATAAAATAATTTCATTTAAAATAACTTTTATTAATAATATATTAATCAATATTATAATTTGGAACTTCTTCAAGTAAATTAACTATGTTGTATTATTAGGATAAATCGTTAATCTATTTCTGTTAAAAATGGTGTTTTACAATCAAAAATAATATTAATGTTTGATATATCAAAATAAGTATCTAAATAATATGAATATTAAATATTGATTTATTGTTATGATTTTTTAAATATCGATATTTTTTATTCGAGCCTACCCCGCCCTTTTAATAAAAATTCGTGGAAATTTCTTTCGAGTGGATTACTTACTTTTTGGTTGCGGTTTTATAAAGTTGTGTTGTTTTATAAAATGTATTCCAACCAGGAATATTTCAATGTGTTAATGTGTCTAGTGAAATGTGATTATGTGTCTAGTGAAAAGTGATTACTTATTATAATTGTGTGTAATTATGCGGAATCGCGTAGACTTTATGACGAACTGTTTACTTCTCCAAGAAGCATACCATTACCGTCACTTAAGGCATTTGAGCGTCTTCATATACGCATGTACAATTTCGGAAATGTCGATGGCCGTGAACAACAACGTGCTAATGAGGGAAGGCCGAGGGTTAATAATGACGATCTAGAGGAACACATATCAGATACTTTTCGACAGGACCCTACGCAAAGCACGCGTGGACATCTACTCAACTATACGCGTGTTTGGAAAGTTTTAAAACAAAATGGCCGACACCCGTACCATTATCGTCGAGTACAGTTATTAATTCCTACCGACTTCGAGCCTAGAATGGCATTCTGCAAATGGATTTTAAACGAAAACGATGAAGACAGTGAATTCTCGAGCCGTATACTTTTTAGTTAACTAAGTGTTATTTTAAATTGATTTGTAACATAGTGAAACGTATCGATATTTGAAAAAAAGTGGTATCAGTGAATCGTTAAAGTGATTAAACAATCAAAATAATGTGAATGTGCGTTCGAGTCCGTCACTGGTAGCGCAGCAGGTGTGATGGTGGTAAATTATTTAATATTTAATTTTATTATTTCTATTGAAGATTTTGTAAATGTAAGTTGTTTCGATACTGATAACGTAGTTAAGAGGGTTGACACAATTTTTCATACACACTGTAGGTATAGTAGTTTGAGCATTGCGCCTGAACATTTTCTTGACATCTTGACCTGCGGACCTTGCTTTTAGAAATATGTCGCATCGCAGAGTAATAATGTGTGTCGAAAACAAAACACTATATACTTTGTAGAATAGAGCATAAATAACGTGACGGAACAGCGATTGAAAAATGATACAAGATGGTGCTGCAGGTGTTGATAATTAAAATGCACAGTCTGGTCTATTTATTTATATTTTTTGACTGGCCACGATCGATTGGACTAACGATCGCGCTCGACCGGTTGGCCACCCCTGGTTTAGACTATAGTAGAAGCAATTAATAAAACGCGGTTATTTTCGAGGTACACTTTCAGATTTGTTTTTCAATGTACGTTGTTACTTCCAGTAATGTCCTGCATAATGGCTGAAGCTAGTATTTATAATTTAAAAATATAAGGTGATACTTAAATGTTACCATTTCAACATTACAATTCAGTATTATGATAAAAATAATTCTAAGAATTATAGTATATTATAAGCAATCAGCTTACCACCGTCATTATTTATAAAAGAACTACCCACACGATTGTTTATAAAAGAAGCATTCAAACCGCCGCGCGTCTCTTGGCTCTTGGCGTTCGTCAGTGGCGGGGCAAGAACTAAATTTGATGTGGGCAAGACAGATTTCGCGAGGCCCTGTTCTATGGCAACCTGAACCTCTTACTACCTGCTAGTTTTAAAAACTTTTACCCTTAAAGCTTTGGTTTCCTTCAAAAGATATTATACAGCGTCTTTTGTATACAAGTAATTACTGCGTTACATACTTATTATCAATTTAATATTTCTTACTTTATGTATGTACCGGTGTAGGTATTACAAATCACAAAGAATGCAAAAACAAAAAACGTCACTGTTTTCAGGAGCAACCAATGTACTTAAACACTATCTATTTATTCGTTAAATATTATTAAAACGTTGAACACACTATTCTTATCAAAATAGGTAAGTACAGTCATAAAAATAAACAATATTGAATAACTATTAAACTATGCGTTTCTTTTGGTATGTGCCTAGCGACTGCGTTGCGTACTTTGATTGGTTGGCTTCCAAGTAAAGAACGTAAGCAAATAAAACCAGGGATTCCCCGCACTCTGGTCGGCGGCAAATGTTACCAGTCTAAGAAAATAAGTTTAAAAACAACATTTATTTATAAATATACTAGTTCTTGCCCGCGACTTCGTCCGCGTTAGTTTGGTCAAGAGTAATATATGTAGGTGTAGCCGACCAGGCGAACTCTATTCCGTCTTAGAGGCCATAAATAATCAGGTTTACCTTGTTTCAATCAAACAGAATGATTGACATATTAGTTAGTTGTCAAATCTAATGTCAAAAAAAAAAAGTTTGTATGGGAAATAGAAAAGTTCTTGTTTTTAGGGTTTTCTCGGCAATTATTCCAATTTTTCTTATCTTTTAAACCTTCCCTGGACTTCCAGGAGTATTTCAAGACTTAAATTAGCCAAATCGGTTCAGCCGTTCTCGAGTTTTAGCGAGACTAAGGAACAGCAATCCATTTTTATATATATAGAAGATTTTTTGAATCTCCCTTTAAATTTTTTTGAGGCGCGAGCCCCTTGTACCACGAGGCCGTAGGCGGTGGCCCACGTCGCCCACGCCCTCCGCCGCCACTGGCGTTCGTAGTGCAAACACCGGTCTTCAAAGTTTTATCTTTCAACCGGTTTCCTTTGTGGTGTTAATATCAAAGTTTCTTAAGTTACGGTTGAAACAATAATTTCATTGGAAGAATGTAATTCTGAAGTAATATATATGTATGTATGTATGTGTGTGTGTGTATAATATAATACAACAAATTCATAACTCCATTTATTAATATATCTTCAATTCTGGTTTATAAACTTGATCATAAATATATAACTATGTATGTTAAGTCTTTAATATACTAACTCTATGTTTTAGTAAATTCTGTAAGGATAATGTGCTTCCGAGATTTGAACAGCATTTAACTAAAAGTTGGAATTTCAGTGACAAGTTCACATCGCTGTAACATACCTATATTGAATCACAACTAAATACAAGCAACTATTATATTTGATACTAGCTGACCCGGCAGATTTCGTACTGCCTCAATCAAGAAATAAATAATTTCTTATTTATTTTTTTGGTGTTTATTATTTTATTTTGAAAGGTGAATATAGTGTTATATACGTAAGTTAAGCATATAAGTAAGTTAAACGGATAAGTTGACAAAATACAGCTGAATTTTTATAACAGTGACCGAGGTATAAAACGGAATTTATATAATACTAGTTTTTGCCCGCGATATGGTCCGCGTTAATTTCGGAATTAGTAATATATGTATAAGTGATCAGGCGAACTATGTTTCGAACTAGAGGACCTTAAATAACCAGATATTGGAATTTATTCCGTATTTTTTTCCTTTTTCAATCGAACAGAATTAAATATCCTATGTCCGTCTCCTGGTTCCAAGTTACCTCCCCACAGTTTTTTCACCCATATTCCTACAGCCGTTCTTGACTTATAAATAGTGTAACTAACACAGCTTTCTTTTATATATATAAATCAAAAAGTCTTAGAAAAGAGTTTACATTAGAAACAATAGTACATTCAAGATTTAATAGGATAGGTTACATCATAGTTTTGGTGAAAAGAGAAACATATTTTTAGGATTATATAAGTATATTAAGAATAATCGCGCTTATAAAATTTGATTTAGCTGACAAAGTCGGGAGCACAGCGAAAGCCACAATTTTATATAAAACCACAATTGGAATAGACATTTTTATACTACAGTAGAATTAGAGTCTAATTTCTCTTACAATGTTTATTAGAGCAGAATTTTATTATAGTCCTGTTGAAACATAGCCTAATTCATGGAAAAATTGTAGAAATTTTATTAAAATAAATAAAATACTCTCGAAATCAGCAACGCACTCACAGCATTTCTTATGTTGCAGATGTCCATGGACGACGGCCGACGGTCATTACTTCCCATCAGGTAAGTCGTCTGCTTGCTTTCACCTTTGGGA